AAATAGACAAAATGGGTGGTGGGAAAGATACAATAGAATGGAGATTTGATTACTCATTGTAATCAATTACATTAATCAATTTTAATTAATGCTATTGTAACAAAATGTCTATGAAGGACTTAGTGAAAAAGCAATAGGATTTATAAACTTTCACTCAGATAACAAAAATGAAAAGAAAAATAATAAAACATAGTAAAATAGTTTTGTTTTTAAAAGTACCTTGGAAAAGCTTCATCCTGAACACCCCACAATCATCTAAGGCTTTTTTTGTTGCTAGGTGCTATCAAGTGGTTCCAACTCATAGCACCCTAAGTATAAGTGCAGGAAACACTGCTTAGCCCTGCAGCACCCTCTCAACTTCCAACAGGCAAAGCTCATTGTTGTGGTCACCGTGTAGCCCATCCCATAGGCCTTCCTCTCTATCACCGACCCTCTCCTTTACCAAGCACCCCATCTTTCTCCAGAGACTGGTCCCAACTGACAACAAGCCCAATGGCAGACAAACTCCTAGAATATCACTAGTTGCTGCCATTTTACTGTGTGAAAACTACAATTCTCTCCCTTGGAACACTGATTTGTTGGCACTAATGAAACAGACACGTGTTCCCTAATCACCCAGACCCATGAGAACAGGGTACACAGGGAGCGCAGTTAGGACAAGAAACACCTTGGCACAAAAGTTGTCAGGAAAAGCAGGAAAAGTCAATCCTACTTCTATTTGTGGTTTTCTATTTTGTAAAATTAAGATAAAACGAAGATATAGCTGGTGATTTCAAACTGCTGAAAGTTAAGTTACAGTCTAATGTTTGATCACATGCACCACTGGGGTACCTTGACTCATCATATTACTATAAAAATAAAAATAATGAATAAACAGAAAGCATCAACTAGTAATTTGATGTTTTGATTGATTTGTTGGTGTGTGTTGTTATTTTCCCCCTTACTGGATGTGTTCCTTGCTCTCTTTGTCTCTCCATTATCACTGATTTCACTTTTTTTTAACTCTTTGGGTTTTTTATAAATTTTTATTTTTATTTTCTTTTTTTTTTTTTTTTTTGTATGTACCATCAAAACGGATCTACCCTCCTTCTCCAGCAGAGCATCTGGTGGATTTGAGCTGTGTGCCTCTGGGACTGCAGTGCAGCTTCTTGCCACTAGGTCACCCGAGCTCCCTTAACTTCACTTTTAAATTTTTTGGTTTCAATATTTTACTATAAGCTTTGTTGACTACTCTCTTTTCATATGAACACACAAATCTCTCACAAGTGCAGTCAGAGTGCTCCTCAGAAGTGAGGATGGTGACACTTCATCTAACACACTTTGGGCCTATTATCAAGAGGGCCCAGTCCCTGTGGATGGCTATCATTCTTGGGTAAGTAGGAAAGGGAAAAAAAAATACTAGAACTTATGACCGTCAAGTCACAAATGACTCACAGCTGAGCCCCTGGCAGGTATTTTGAGGTTATAAATCACAAGGGACGAGTCTGCTCTTCTTTCTCCAGTAAATCTACTCTTCAATTCCAACTGGCAGAGAGTCTTGGCCTTTGGATTAGCGACACAACTCCCTACAGACCACACCACGAGAGCTCCCTTGGGAAAGCAGAAGGTGATCATAAAAAGAGGAAGACCCTCAAGGAGATGTACTGACACAATGACTCCAACAAGGAGATCAAATGCTTGCCAAGATTGTGACAATGGCATGGGATCAGGCAGCGTTTCATTCTGCTGTACCTAGGGTTGCTCCGCGTCTCAACAAACTCAAAGGTATTGACAATAGCAACATACATATGAGGCCAAGATTGGTTGGCCACTCACTTAGAACTGACTCCTATCTGACTCTCCAGTGTTTCTAAAGCTGTGGGTCAAATGAGAGGAGATTGCTCATCTTTTTCCCAAGATGCCATTAGTGGATCCAAACCACCAGAAAGGTTCAGTCATTAAATTAGCAGAGTAACTCTCTAAGGACCATATCACCAGAGCTCCCTCCAGGTCAATGGCATCTGAAATTTATCTAATTTGCAGGTCTGACCTACTTTGGACATGTTGCAAGGTGGCGCCAAGTACATCATTCTTGGGAGGTGGGGAGGGACAGTGCAAGAGAGTAAGACCCTCGATGAGATGGATTGATTTAGTGATGTGTAGAATGGGGATAGGTGTGTCAGAGACAATAAGATTGGCACAGGATAGAACAGGGTTTAGGGCTGTTGTACACAGGGTCGCTATGAGTCACAGGTGACTCGACGGCACACAACAACATCAATAATGTAAGACTCACAAAACATGACATAAGATTATAAAAGAGGGGGTCTTATCTGAAAGCTTTATTAGTTTCATAGTAAATCATCTCTACTCATACAATACAAATAATCCATATACACATATGGAGGGGTATCTTGTTTGTGTTTTCTTTAAAATATGGCGAAGGCAGTACATTATAACCCCTCTTCTGCATCGTGTTTTCTTAGCAATGTTGTTGTTATGTGCCATCAAGTCGCTTGCGACTCATAGCGACCCTGTGTACAACAGCTCTAAACTCTCTCTGTCCTGTGCCAATGTCATTGTCTCCGACACACTCATCCCAATTACCCCAGTTACTGAATCAATCCATCTCCTAGAGGGCCTTCCCCTCCTGTGCTTGCCCTCCACTCTCCCAAGTATGATGTCCTTCTCCAAGGACCAGACTCTCCTTACAACATGACCAAAGTATGTCAGACGAAACCTCAGAATCCTTGCCTCCAAGGAGCCACCTGGTTTAACCCCTTCCAGGATGAATCTGTTTGTTTTCCTAGCAGTCTATGGTACCCTCGATACTCTTCTCCAGCACCAGAGCTCAAAGGCATCAATTCTCCTTCTATCCTCCTTAGTCATTGTCCAATTTTCTGATGCATAACAAGTGATTATAAAGACCATGGCCTGTATCACGTGCACCTTAGTCTCCAGAGAAACACCGTTGCTCTTCAGAGAAGAAGGGAAAACCCTTCTTAGCAATACATCCTATAAACCATTTCAAGACACCTGGTATAGCTCAAACTCATTTTTAAGAGACCACATAGCATTCCATAGTGAGGACGGGCCACAAGTTTTTCAAACTTCCCCCTTATTGAGGTCTATCCCCTTTCTTTCTAGCTTGTTTTATTTCTGATGTGTTTTTCCTCTAGTGCCACAGTGACATGTTTTATGGTTTAAAAATAGAAACAAACAGTCTTAAGAGACTTTAAAAAATTGTTCTAATTTAATTTGGAGAGAAATGGTAGCTTTACAATGTAAAGCCTTTCTACCCAAGAACATGGTACGTATTCCAATTTGATCGCACCCCACCCACAGGGAATTTATAATCTAATTAGGGGAAAGAGGTTTTCACCCAAATAGCCAGAATGTAAGATAAAAAGAAAGCCCTAATTCTAACACATGAAGCTGAGAATGAGATTTGACTCCAAAGGGTCAGAACACAGAGGACCAAAGGACAGGAGAGGGGAGGCGGGATGGGCGTGAAGAAACAGCAGCTCAGCTTGGGCACAGAGACACCCAGGGAACTGGACACAACTGAGAAGAGGGAACTCGGGGCCTCCACAGTAAAGAAATAGGAGACAAGGCTGAAAAGGTAAGCTGGAGCTCATCCACTGCAAAGGCCAGGACCCTGGAGTTTATTCCCAGTTCGGCAGGGCAACAAAAGCTACAGCTAGCTTGGAGACAAGAACAGTGTGAGGTGAGAGCTCCGCTTTAAGACCACTCAGGTGTGAGAAAGACAGCCCAGGGAGCTCAGACTGCTGTTCTAACAGTCCACAGGAGAAGCAGTGAGGCTTGAATCAAGGATAACAGAAAAGAAAGATACAGCACACCTGCAGCTCCTGAAATAAGAATTCAAATATCTTTCATTGGTTTTTTGTTTGTTTGTTTGTTATGTGCTGTTGAGTTAGAATCACCTCAGAGCTGACCCTCTAGCAACGTTTTCAGAGGCTGTAAATCTCATGAGAGGAGACTGCCCACTCACATGCCTTTGGGTTGGCAGCCCAGCTCTGAACTCACCAGGCCACCAGAGGGGAGGAAAAAGATGTTTTAGTCTTAGCTGGGGTGAAGAGTAAGCTGGTGAGGCCATTAGCACAGGTGAACGAAGCAGATCATGTCTGGATAAACAGATGACCATTTCATTCAGACATTTTAAATTTACCATGTAAGCATGCATAATCAAATAGATAAATCCTAAATTAGGACCCAAAAGGAAGAGCTGCCTTTTATAATTTTTCTGGGGAAACCCCAATAAGTGAGTTCATTTGAAAAAAAAAAAAAATGCCGAACTGAAGCACATTCCATGGGTCTGTATCTTACAGAAGTTAAATTCTTCTAGACTCTTCCTCAGACTACTCAAAGTGCTCTTCTCCCATCTCACCTTAAAACATGGCCTCATTTGGACAGCTTTCCCTAAAAGTCCCATCATAGGCAGGCAAAACATTATTTGAAACTTTTAACCAAAATCTGAATTTTAAAATAGACATAAAATTTCACACCCAAATTCTACTTTCAAGTACTTCTTGCATTATAAATCAAATGTGCAAACTGATTCTAATGGTATCAGGAAAAATTACACCAACTCTAAGAATTATGCAAACTCAGACACACTTTAAATAAAATGTGTATAGTCAGTAATATTAAAAAGTACAATTCCAAATTTGTCTTAAATCAAATCTAAAATATAAGTTGATAAAAATTTTACTACTATTTTTGAGGTATTTAATCTATAGAACCAAAGGTACAAAATGATTCTTAATAAAGTTTTGATAAATGAGTCTCAACAGATATAGCATTTTTCTAAATTAAAATTTCGAAGACTCCTAGACTAAAGGTAATAAACCATCGGAAAAGGGAAACCTGTAAACAATAGAAAGCTCCAGAATATTTTTTTTTATTTAGTAGCCACTCAATTTACAACTCTGAGGGTGAAAGGGATTTAATCAACAAATCAACAGAAAATGAAATTTTATTAAAAATTTAAATGTACAAACCTCATAATGTTCATATTCATCCACATCAAATGTCTCAAAGTCAAAAAATCCATGTTGTAATCCCTAAAAGCAGAACTTACGTTAGTCTGGCCAAACTAAATTGATAATGTCCCCTCGTCTAACCTGGAACTCCTGCTCATAAAAACCACCTCATTAACGTGGAGGAGAAAGCTGGAGACTTGATTTTTAATGCATATTAGGAAATTATAACACTGACAATTTTTACTTTGTCTTAAAAACAAAAGTTATGAAATGATATAAATCTGCCTTAAGGTCTGACTTAGATTAAAATATGCAAAAAATAAATGTCTAAATGAAACATACTAGCTAATTTATAGCAAAAAAAATAATAGGTGTCCATACAATTAATTCCTCTCTAATCATGTGAGAAGATAACAGAGGAGTAATCAACTATTCTTAGGAAAGTTTTATTTGCCTTTTATCAATAGACACTTAGCAAAAAGGGTATTGCTCAATAATTGGCTATTATGGTTTCCGGATGAAATGTGAAAGCAGTGGCCATTGCTAAGAGAAAGGTCAGTGATTTGAACTCCCCAGCCACTGTGTGGCAGAAAGATTGCCGGGGGGGGGGGGCATCTCATTGTCATCAGTGAGAACTACTCAAAGATGACCTTCCTACGGGTTTTCAAGGCTGTAAAGTTGCCCATCGTTTTCCCGCAGAGCAGCAGGTGGATTGGGACCTTTTGGTCAGCAGCTCAGCTGTGTATGGATTACACCAACAGAACTCCCTGTAAAGATTATATCCTTGGCAAGAAACCCCAGGGCAGTTCTACCCTGACCTATAAGGTCACTTGGAGTCAGAATCAACTCGGAGATCATGGGTTTGGGGATTTTTTTTTCCAATTGTTTCCTGAAACTATACTTTCAGAGAGTCTGTTCCTTGGTGATAGGTTCTGACAAAATAAAAAGTAAAAGTATGCTTGGCTGCTGAGACAATTTCAAAGGAAGTACTGATACTTTCAACAACACAAGAAATAGCTTAATAATCCTTCTTTTATAACTTAATGACTTGGAACCTTAAAAAACTGCCCTGCTTGCTCAGATCTACTATGTCAAGATGACAAGGAGTCATTTATTCATATGCTATATAGATTACAAAACAATACAAAACCATGAGTACTTTTAAAAACTACATGATCAAGTAATTAAAAATGGAAGAAGACATTATTAAGTTGAGCTCCAGAAGAAGGTATAGCTTGGAAATTAGAGACCAGTGGTTTTCAAATGTACATGGACCACTGCAGTAGAAATAATGAAGGTGTCAAGTTAAAAAAGAAATCCCAAACCCTATCCCCAAACCAACCTACTGCCCCCAAGTAGATTCCAACTCATAATCACCTTCTATTGGATTCCCAGGCTGTAAAACTTTTGGGAGGAAATGGCTTATCTTCCCCCCTCAAAGCAACTAACGGATTTGAACTGCTGACTTTCTGGTTAGCAGCTCAATGCCTTACACTATTGGGTTCCTTTTCCAGAACTACTAAATCGGAATCTCTGAGGGTGAGGCTCAGAATCAGCACTTCTCACAGGCCTTCCTAGGTCATTTTGATGTGCTAAATTCTGAGACTTGGTTTAGACAGCCCCTGTAGAATAATCAGGAGCTCTGAGTGCCTAGTGTGGTTTGTGTTGCACTAGTAATTGGAAGTTCAATCGTTCAAATTCAACAGCTATTTCACCAGAGAAAGATGGGTAGTCTCCTCCGCGTATTGAAAATCCAGTGGAAGATTGCTATGAATTGGAACTGACTCATTGGCAAAGGGTTTGGGTTTGGAATAGAATAATCAGAACAAGTTATTTAGATTATTTTACCTTTAAACAAAAGTAAACTATTGCTTCACCTTCAGCATTCCAAAGAAAACAATGAGGGAGGAAAATACTGTTTATTTTATTCACTCTTTTTCTTCCTCCCTCTTTATTTAAACCGTGGGGTTTGTTTTCACTAAATTAGGAACTATGTTTTCAACAATGTGAATATATCAAAATGAGAAAGATATGCTTCCAAAACAACAAAAATATGTCCTTACTCCATGTACATTTTAGGAGGCTAGTTTTGGCTATAAAAACAAGCCAGAACGTGACATGTCATGTAAAAGAACATCAAGTGCAGACAAGACACCTCATTCCTTAGAAATATGTTGACAGCTCTACTATCCGGTTGCCTAAAATTTCATCTGTATTTGGGGAAAATAAATGCCCGCATTTGGCAAAACAAACTGTTTCTAGACGCCTTTATGAACGAAGTCGCACCTTTACAACGGGAAAGATGTCATAAATTTCAGTATCAATTTACTTGTTACCATAGCAACAGACAGGGCTATTCCAGCATGAACTCCTTGTGAATTGTGTTCTAAAAGTCATGGCCTATATTCAATGTGGGAGATGTTAAAACAATAATAATGACAACTAATAAATTAATTATATCTAATCCCTCCTGGCACTTTTTTTCAATGCTGTGTACCTGTGGCTTATTTACCAGGTGGGCACTGTCTCTATAAAGGTTCTTAACAGTTGTTACTTTGGGCACATGCTGGTGATATTGTTTGCACAGATGAGCTTGTATATCTTTATATCTTTATAGCGTAAATTAAAGGGAAAGTATTGACGTTATTTTATGGCCTCACTGCATTTAAACTCATTTTAAAATGAAGGATCAAAAAAACATAAACATCAGGCTCACTCTAATTACTTTTAAGTTAAGAACCAACTCATTGCTGCCCCTTCACTGGGTTTCCAAGGCTGTAAATCACATGGGAGGAGATTGCTTATTTTTCTCATGCAGAATGGCTGGTGGATTCAAACCTCCAGAGAAGTATGACCTTTGTGAGTTAACTGCACAGGAACTCGTCACCAGGGCACATAGTACATTTACCATACTAATTTTCTCACCTGTTTTATATAGCATTATGGGCAGCAGGGGATGAGGCAAGCTAGGATCCCTACTGGCCCTCTACTTAAAATCTGTAGTCATCTATGTGAGTGAGTTATAACATGTACATTCTTGAGTGATAACAAACAATGGCCATATGTTCAAGATGTTATTACTTTAAATTCTCATTATCATTCACAGCTTGCATGACTTTTCAGACCATAAACTGATCTTTCTATTCCAAAGGTTCTCCGGGATCTTTTCTAGAAACTGCTTTATTTTCTATACAAATAACTATGACCTGGTTCTCAAACTCTAGTGTGCATCATCACCAGAAGGGATTATTCAGTGCTTCTGTCCAGCAGCCTGAGGGAGAGCCAGAGATTTTGTATTTTCAACAGGTCTGCACACTTGGAGAAACCATCAATTTATGACATGCCCTGATGCTGTATCAGAAAGAGTTCTGGATTGATTCAGAAAATTTGAATGACCATTAGCTCTGCTAATCACTCCCTGCCAACCTAACCCCTCTGTGCTTGCTTCTTCATCTGTGAAAAGGGGATATTAACAACTGGCCTGACTACTATTTTACAGACTTGTAATAATATCTAATTGGAAAGCTAACATGGAAATGTTCTCCCCCAGCTAGTAGGGGAGACCTGTGGCTTAGATAACTCCCTGCTTCCTCCCATACATATAGAGAAGCTAAACAGAAGCAAGGCAACAATCACTTAAGATGGCAAGGGTGGTAAGTCACCCCCAAAACCTGAAAAAACCTGAAATAAGAACTGTTCCCTGCCAGGAGTAACACAGTCACCCCTCTGGTTTACTCTACTTTACAAATCAATCATCTTCCAAGAAGTCAAGAGTCTTTTTCTCTGGGCTTCCCCCTCTTCCCTCTGACCACAGACAAGGATGTTCAGACTAGCCCTTCTTCACCTATTTAAATAAACTTCCACATCAACACCCAGCAAGAATTGTCATTACCTTTCTGATTCCCTGCAAGCAGTCGAGGATGGTGAGATTGTAAGTGCAATATCCAAAGGAAGCATCCCTACGAACATAAATAAATTTTATATTAAACAGGGCCATTTAGAATGCTGAAATAATAAACCACCAAAAATTGCTCAAAGTCACACTTGTTTGGTTTCCCAACTAATAATAGGGTAAATCTGGGTAACATGACAGACTTTATGAGTTCACTCCTGAAGCTTGAGCCAAGCACTTCTGTAACTGTGTTAACCCAACAGGCAGAATGAATGAAAGAAGAGATTTAAGAGCCTCAACTCTGGTGTCAGAAAGCCTTGGTTCAATCCCAATTCTGACACATATTAGCTAAGCTCTTGAGCCAGTTCTAGCACTTTCTGCTAGAAAGTACTCTGCACTGTAAAACCAAATTAATGGAAGTATAACTTGTAGTCGCAGAGCTGTTGATAGATTACATAAAAGAATATGTAATGTTAGGGCAGTGTCTCACATATAAGAAGCACTTTATAAATATTGAGGACTACTGCTATTACTAACTAAGGGAATTGGATCCTTTCCTTAAGGAAAATATCTGTTGTCATGAGAAGTATTCTGACAGATGAAGGAGCAAATACCACCAGGAATGGGGTGAATATAATGATAAAAAGCAAAGTGGGACGTTGTTTGTAGGTCAGTGAAACCGAGGACAAGCCTTCATGGGTTAGGGGGTCCACCCTCTGCCCTGCAAAATAAACTAGTAGCCCACATATACACACAGGGGGGGAATGCAGTCACGCTTCCAATCTCATCTCAGCAGCACTGAGAGCATCTGGTGCATTTGTGAAGTGCTTGATCATGAGGAAGGGGAGCCTACTGCACAGAAAACCGAGTGCTTCATACTTTATTTACGTTTTTAGAGCAACTTAGCAGCCCTGCTTTAGGCAACATAAAACTAGAGTATCAAGTTCAGGTCAGTTAAGCAAGAACCGGCATTGGAGCTTTAACACTAGCAATGTTCCAAGGTGTCCAAGGCAGGAAACTTGACCTCAGCCTCTCAGTCTCCACCCAGCCTCCACTGGTGACCCAGAACCACCGAGCTGTCCGCCACCCTCAAGGACAAAGCCAAATGTGCCACAGGCAGCCCAGGGGCAGCCGGAAAGGATGCGAGGGCTCTCAGGGAGAGATCAATCAATATAAAGAATTTTAATGTTTCATTGACATAAACCATACCAATTGACACTAACCATCCCAACATAACCTCAATCTGTGGTTGGTACACCAGCAATTGAAAAGACACTTCAGCATCACAATTACAGAACTCTGATAGTCACTTACATGAAAACAGTTGCCTCTCAAACAGAAATGCATTTTGGGCCATGAAACTTTAGCTAACCTTTCTAAAGAGGACAGAGGGTTTATTCTTGAGATTTAAGCTGATTTCAACTGTTTGTTGGTTTGGGGTTGGCTAATGGTGGTGGCTTTTCTTTTTAGTTAAAGTTTACATATCATATTGGTTTTTCATACAATCATTCATAGGCATTTTATAACATTGTTAATGATTAAGTACTTAATTATAATGTTGAATCACTTCCTTATTCTATACTACCATTCCCTTTACTCAACCTAGCTATTTATTAACTTTTACTCTAAAATGCTATACAAATCCACAGGTAAGTGAATATAACACAGACCTTATTAATTTATCTTGTATGTATTAAGAAGCAAGATTTTAATGGGGAAAAACTGGAGAAATGAACAGCTGAGTGTTTAAGATAAAATGGTTATTTCTTCGCAAGCACCTCTTTGAGTTAAAGAGGATTCAGTGTGACAGTATCAGAGTGTGTGTGTGTGTGTGTGTGTGTGTGTGTGCGTGTGTGTGTGTGTGTGTGTGTGTGTGTACCAGCAATGACATTTGTAGGCTCCTAAGAGCTCTGATGGCCTAGTGGCAAGAAGCTGGACTGCAATCCGAAGGCACATGGTTCGAAGCCACCAGCTGCTCCATGGGAGAAGGAAGGGCAATCTCCTCCTGTGCAATTAACTACCTCTGAAACCTGCCAGATGGTCAGCTATGAGTTGGTTCTGACTTGATGGTATATAACAACAGCATAACCAGTTAACAGGTCTAGGTGGTCTAGTCCATAGTGAGCACTACTGCTAACTCAAATGCGGCAAGTCTCTGGCAGTTAGAATTCACCAGTGCCTCCAAGGGAGAAAGAAGCGCAATCCCTACAACAAGGAGAAGATAAAATAGATGAATGGGACCTTCTAAGAATCAAATCCCTATGCACATCTAAAAACTTCTCCAACAGGGTAAAAAGGGAAGCCACAGACTAGGAAAAAGTATTTGGTAATGACATATCAGATATCTGGACTTATATCCAGAATTTATAAAATACTTGAGTACCACAAGAAGATAAAGGTAAATAATCCAATAGAAAAATGGACACAGGATATGAACAGACACTTCACTGAAGAAGACATTCAGATGGCTAACAAGCACATGAAGAAATGCTCAAAATCCATAGCTCTAAGAGAGATGCAAATCAAAAAAACTATGCGATATCATCTCACCCCACTCAGAATAGCAAAACTTAACAGAACAGCGAGCAACAAATGCTGGTGAGGTTGTGGAGAAACTGGAACCCTTATTCACTGTTGGTGGGAGTGTAAAATGGTACAACCACTGTGGAAGGCAGCACGGTGCTTTCTCAAAAAGTTGCAAGTAGAGATACCAATTGATCCAGCAGTTCCACTACTGGGAATATACCCTAAAGAGATCATAACCGCCATCCAAGCAGATATATACACACCCATGTTTATCGCAGCTTTGTTCACAATAGCAAGGAGCTGGAAACAACCTAAGTGCCCATCAACAAATGAATTGATAGAGAAGCTGTGGTATATTCACACAATGGAATACTATGCTGCATTGAAAAACAAGTAGCTCATGCAATATTATTCAAAATGGATGACCCTGGAGAACATTATGCTGAGTGAAGTATCTCAATCACAAAAGGACAAGTACTGCACGGTGCCACTATTGTAAAGCAGGACTGACCTCGGGGGTTGGGAGGAGACTGAGAAGGATGGGTTCAATAATGTATACTGCATTGAAACAGATGAGGGAGAAAACTGTTTAAGAGGGAAAATTATTAGGGATTTTTGTCATGACAGGAGTCCAGAGTGAAGGCTATAGTGGAGTGGACCTGGGAGGAGGGATTATAAAACTGTGAAAGAATTTTGCTTTTACTTTTCCAAGAGGGTAGTGTATTGGGGGAGGAGGGTTGGAAAGGGAGACAAGTGCAACAAGTGAATGGAAATCCAAAGTCTCTGTAAATTTTCATTGAAATTAATAATAAATTTTTAAAAAAAGAAAAAAGAAGAAGCACAATCTCCTATGTGATTTACGGCCTCAGAGGTCCAATAAAAGGTCAACTACAAGCAGATCTGGTGGTGCAGTTGGTTAGGCAGTGTACTGCTGTGAGCCAAAAAGTCTGCAGGTCGAAGGCGAGAAAGATGAGGGGGTTTGCTTCCATAAAAACTGACTGTCTCAGAAACCTTGGAGCAGCTGTACTCTTACACAGTCCCTGTGAGCTGAGCTGCAACCTACTCATGCGAGTGGGTTATTCCTCAAACACAACGCTCCACAACTCCCTCCTGCTCTCAAGCAAAGCTCAGATCCTCCATAAGGTTACAAGACGCTGTGGGGTTTGTCTTTCCTACTTCTTCCCCTACTCAATTCTCTATGCCAAATTACCACGACCCTTCTAATCTCATCAGCACCCCTTACGGTGCTCTGGTGTCTTGTGGAATCTCTGCACCTATTGGCCACATGCACTTGGGATGCTCTTCCTTACTCACCTCTACCAAGGTGGCTCCGACCCATTCATCAGATCCCAACTCTATAATTTCCCTCAGGAGAAAATGCCCAACCCTATATTCACTAGATAAAACATTCAAAATCTTTTTCCACTGAACTTTTTACCCTTTGAAATTACACCGTAGTGTGTGTATACGAGTTTCTGCCTTTCTCTCTGTAACAGACTCTAAGAAGATAGGATCTATATATGCATTTTCTACTAACCAATGTTTCTCAGCACCTAATACATACCATGCCTTGCACAACATAATCCATGTCTGAAAGCAATTTTTAAATTAAGTCAAGAAGTAGCTCATTCCAAGAAAATATTCTATGGCCATTTCTGCAGAACAAGTAGCTTCATACCTCAATCCTTATAAGCAATTATTTTTTTTCCTTTGCTTTAACCTTCTGCCTATTTAAGACCATTTATTTTGGCCTCTTCTCCAAACAGTGAGGCTAAAAGCAGTGAATTTCAAAGTAGTTTTCCCTTCCTTTGTCAAGTTCTATTAAATACAGTTTTATTTTTAACTCAGACACTTTAAGAGATGCTACAAAAAGTTTTCAGAATTTTGCTCTCTGTGTCCAAGTGCCAGAAGTGATACTCCAAAAAGTTTTAAACTCTTCAGTTTTTATTGAAGGTACATTTCCAAGTTACTTTAACTCTGGCTTAGCTCTTTCAATTCATGAACTCACATTTATTGGGCCAAATGTTTACTGAGTTGAACAACACCACATGCTGTATTTTTCCACCTGCCTCCTAAATGAACACTGAAATCTTAGATACTTCATCTTAGGAGGAAAGGTTACAAACTCCTTGCTGCTTGGGAGAAGGACAGCTTTTGTGCTTGTCTCTCATGATACATTTATCATGTATTCCGTTACCCTCTTAAACAGGTAAACAAAGGATGTTCTTTACTCAGGAGACAAAGTAGTACTCAAACACCAAGGTTTCAAATCATCCATCTTTGCTGAAAAATAAATTATATGTCTCTATCCCTCAATCCAGAAAGAGTTATAGCCCACCCACCCCTCTCTAGAGACATCCAAACAGAAATCTAGCTCAACTTCATGCTTGACTATCTATAAAGTCTATCCATCCTGGCAATCTCATCATTCTAAATGTGACTTCTAGAGTAAGAGTCAATTGAACCACAAAGTTATGAAATGATAATAAAAACTACATAACTGACTTTGGTGGACTGAGAGGGCTGCAGATAGTAAATATT